TGAAGATCTGACAGTTGTACTGGGAGGTCGCGTCAGGGATCATACGTGCGGCTTTTGACACTATCACGTCAGACATTGGTTAATCAATTAGCGTTGACGTTTCTAGTGGTTTACCCACAGTTCCGTGCAGAGAACGCCAAGTACTCGCCGTAACAGACCGTTTCATTGGCTAATTCCTCACATCAACTAGAACACCTGTTATATAACAACTCCTCCATGTCCTAGTGTTGTGAAGACAAGTAAAACAAAATTTTGAACTATAAAAAACGAAACGAAATAGGATCTGTGTTTTAACCAGACTGGAATACAACTGTCACAAGAAATAATCTGGGCGACGTTCTACCCTTTTAATTTCATGACATTTCAATTGTGTATGTCAACAATGAATGGACGGTTTGGTTTGATCAAATATACAACAAAGATCGAAGCAAATGTTTCCTAGAATTGGATAGCGTGATATTTTGATGTTATCGATATGGAGGCTAATCACGTTCGTCTCGTCTCTTGGTATCAGGTTAATTACCCCTGACAATCATCTCCAAATCTCTCGTACCATCAGATTGGGCTCTCGATAAGCCCCCCGATAATCACTACAACCAATATACACATTTACAACCAATCAGAATTGGCTACAAGACAAGCTCTTGTGGCTCTGCCAATCAGAACAGGACATTAGAGTTAATCCTCCTTCATACCACCATCTTGGATATTAAATCAAGTCATTAGAAGACTTGTCTTTCACAACACATCCGTATTTTACTGACAAATAATGAAAATAAGTCCGTCTTAGCCATTACCTCTGGGTCAAAAGTTAAACATTTCCCCCCAAGGTTACAGTTATTTGGTCCTGAGAATGGATTGGGATATACATACAATAAAATAAGGGAGCCTTTTTGTAACGAAGACATTTATCGTTGTTGTTCTTAGAGTTTAACGTCCGCTTCTACCGAAGGTGATATCGCAGACAAGTTGTCTTATCATTTTTATTATCGTAGCGCAGACGCAGGGGTCTTTCCTGTGGTAGGAAACTGGAGTACCCGGAGTAAACCCAATAGGTTCAGAAGGCGCCCTTATCTCCAAGCCACATACGCTTACACCAGGGACCGATACCACAGCCGCAAGCCAGAGGTGACAGACCAGCTAGAGGTCGGAGCGCAACACACTAGACCACTATACCCCCGCCCCCGCATGACATATATTCAAATGGAGAGAGAGAGAGAGAGAGAGAGAGAGAGGGGTAAATGAGGTTTAACGTCCACTCGACACAAACTAGGTCATTTCGGGACTAACATGTGGTTTTAATTTTATTTCAATAATTCGCTTGCGCGTAGGGGTCTTTAGCAGTGGGGGGAAACTGGAGGACCCGGAGAGAACCTACTCCTTGTCACGTACAAACGGGGATTCGAAACCACGCCAGTTGACTCAATGACAGGCCTTATGATACAGCGCGCACGTGCTAACCATTCGGCCATCCAACCCCCGATATTCAAATGGGCTCTTATATAGTCTAATGCCGTATTACAATTGGACTTTTTATCCAATGGCTTTTTCCAATATCTGAATTTCACACTATATTGTTCCCAACCGATTCTGATTAAGGAAGAATTAACAGGTAATTGTATGTTTATGGGGTCGTAAATAGGCGATAATAATCCCACAAGTGATTATTTAGTGCTACGAAACTTTTCTTTTGTGTGGCATTTAGAAGATATCACAAAGATTACAAGACACGCTACTGTGTTGGAGGCATCTACTGCGTTTGAATATTGATAAAAGACGGCCACGGCGGCTAAGTGGGTAAGACGCTGGCTCACTAGCCTGAAGGTCGGGTGTTCGATCCCTAAATTGGCCGAGAAAGTTCATCCAGATTTTCTGGCGTGGTTTCCTCTTATCACTGATGCAGGACGGAGGACCTAAAAAGGACAGCTGTCTAATCGTTCGGATGGGACGAAAAACCGAGGTCTCGTGTACACATTGGCGTGCACGTAAAGGATCCCTCCTATGACCGTTGGAATTCGATATAAGACTAGGCCGTAGTGCCGCTGTCCGGGCAAAATGTCCCTCATAGCACACTGTATGGCGTATGCTCGTCATCATTAGCCAAATTCGGAGCAGAACAGTAGGACGTTAAACTCCATTTATAAAAAAATTCGTAAAAATGATATTAAATAAATTTCGAAGCATCAAAGATGTTAGAAACGGAATGAAGTACAAAATAACAATATATTAATAATTTTAAACAGGCTATAGGGCTAATTTGCTATTGGATTAATTGAAAGCCGCGTTTCGACGATGATTCTGTTGACTTTCGTAAAAAAAAAATGATTTAAATGTCTTCATTAAAACGACAGAATGATCGTGAAAACGAATACTAGTCACGCATCTCCCTATGGCTATAAACATTAACCGAGATTCTAACGGACTGCGGCAATCTTGATAATTGTATGACCACTGTCTGTAAGCCAAGGTGGACTGCCCAAGGTCACTAGAAAATGGATTGATATTGACTATGTCCTGTGTTCCTCAATGAATAATATTATATTTATCCTACACTAAACGTAAATCATTCAAATGAAATAAAATAGACGTTACACATGCTACTTTACTGTGCCAAACGGGATTATGACGGTCATACGCAAGACAGTATTATGGGGTGAATTTGCAAAGACAGTAGATATTTTTGGCAAGCGTAAATTCCTGGTCCGTATCGCGTATCCGTGTCGATTTTGCATGTGACGTCATCAATGCGTGTGTTACGCCACACGGACTCGGCAGCACGTATCCAACAGCCTTCATACGGGAAAAGTTCCGTATAACATCTTCGTCTTTTTACCGTATTTTAGACATTGAAATGTTGTATCATAGCGTTTTTATGAATCTATGTGTATCCTAGAACATTAAGGTGTATATTTGACGTGGTTTTAAACATAACAAAGACTGCAATTTTATCATTGAAGAAGAGCGCCCCAATGGTGAAAATCGGAACTTCCAAAACTCTTAAAACTACATTGACGCAAAAGTCTCTAACGGCGCTAATGCCTACGCTTATTTCAATTACTGTCACCGGATCTCGGTTTTACGTGCCATCCGAAGGATTAGACACTGTTCCTAGCCAGGCTATTCGTCCTACAAATGGGAATCGAGGCTGTAAAATTCCGGTGTACTTTCGTAAACACCAACTGCATCGAATCCCGTTGCGCCTCGTTAATGAACCAGCATCCGTTACATGGAAGTTATCTCTATTTTTTAGCTAATATATTGCGTGTATTATATATTTAATAACTAATATAATCTGAATGGCCACTTCTTTATTACAAACTGTACAAGAACGAATATCAGAATCCATTAGCAACATAATAATGTATATATAAGGCTAATGGCTGCAGCGCATGTGGCCTTATCCGGCTCTTTCTTTTCTTACTTAAACGTAACTCGTCTACTGAGAGAGAGAGAGGGGAGAGGGAGAGGGAGGGAGGGGGGGGGGGGGTGATAACGTCCACTAAGTCATTTAGGGACAAACATATGCTTCAATTTTATTTCAATAATTCGCTTGCGCATACGGGACTTTAGCAGTGGGGGAAAACAGGAGCACCCGGAAAAAACCAACGAGGTTAGACAGGCGACCTTACTCCTTGTCACGTACAACTGGGGAATCGAAACGACATCAGTTGAATCAATGACAGACCTTATGATACAACCCTTTACTCGTCTACAGAATATATGTGATGAAACTGATATCATTAAACGGGTATTATTATGTAAGAGCTAAATCTGCCTATGTACAGGTCTTTATCGGGCCTTAAATGTTATATAAATTATTAATTAGACATTTATTAACATGAAGTTTCCCGGCTAATGCAGTTATCGAACATGCGACCTCCAGACTAGCGAGCCATCGTCTTACCGTGGTTCCTATTTATAAGATATAACAGGTGATTATTAGAAATCTTTATACCTTGACGTGATATTGACGTGACATCTCATTAACTAAATTAATTAATCCTCGTGTTAGATATTAACGATTATAGGATCAATTGTAGATTAATCTAACGAACAGGTACACGCCTACATTAAACATACTTAATAATTATGTCTTTTAAAGGCTCAATACCACTCTTGTTGTAACTGAATAATATGTCCCAAACTTTATTCTGGTCAACAAATTGTACTATTTTACAATATTCCAATTAATTGATGATACAAATTTCATCTTAACACCCCTAATTTAAAAAATTGGAAAAATTCAACTAAATGATTTGAAAAGCCTGACGTAAAGCTTTTCAAATGTGACTTGGATTTAAAAATATTTTTGAACCCTCTGGACAAGTAAAATAGGATTTAATGGATAATTTATACAACAGGTAAGACACTAACACATCTAGTACTTAGAATAAGGCTATTTTTTATTTTCTGGAGCTGCCAAGCCAGCAAGAGTGTTATTGTCCCTTTAATACGCGTGTTGTGAAAGAATGCTTTATTAAACTAATTGCTAGCATAGTAGGGGGTGGATGACCGAATGGTTATCACGTGCGCGCTGTATCATAAGGTCTGTCATTGAGTCTACTGGTGTCGTTTCGATTTCCCGGTTGTACGTGACAAGGAGTGGGGTCGTCTGTCCAACCTCGTGGGTTTTCTCCGGGTACTCCGGTTTCCTCCCACTACTAAAGACTCCTACACCCAAGCGAATTATAGAAATAAAATGGAACCATATGTTAGTCCCGAAATAATGACCTAGTTTGTGTCTTGTGGACGTTAAAGATCATCTCTCTCTCTCCCCCCCCCCTCTCTCTCTCGCAAGCATAGTACCCAAGCTGACAAGTATGAAAAATATATTTTGGTGAAGCGGATGATTCTGGAAGCTTTAAAGAGCTTAGCTGAATGAATTATAGATGTTTGGAAATGGTGTCTTAGTCTTACATCCTATTTTAGCTCAATCATAACGTAATAGTGCCACCTTTTAATATTTGGTTTGTAATGTAAATATTTTTCGTCTGTTTCAGTTATCGTTATGACAGAAGAGCAAAGTGAACTATGGGGTCAAGGCCGTTACTCTCAGCAACAATTTTGGTCGCCATGACATTGACAAGTTGTTCCGGTTAGTATAATTTTTATATTGGTTATATTGACTTGTTTTCGTTCCAGGAGTCTGTAGACTAGATGGCCTCAATCTGATTAAAACATAGATCATATTTCGTTTCGTTTTTTATAGTTCAAAATTTCGTTTTACTTGTCTTTACTATACTAGGATCTGGATGAGTTGCTATATATCCCGCGTTCTGGAAGATGTGGGGGATTAGCCAATGAAACGGTCTGTTACGGCGAGGTTTTGGCGTGGGGTGCACGGAACTATGGGTATCCCACTAGAAACATCAGCGCTGATTGGTTAATCAAATGTCTGACGTCATAGGGCCAAAATTGGCTCGTATGAACCCTGACCCGACCTTCCACTACAACCGGTCAGATCTTCATGTAGTAGAGGCCATCGAAAGTATTACAAACGAAATATAGATCTGTATTTTAATGGATTAATATGGCTTGTATGGAAATGTACGCAATTGACAATCACGTTGCAACGAATACAAGAAGACTCAGTTATCAACATACATCGGCCTTGGAACATGTTTTGAAAGCTACATGGATAGACAATATATGTGTTTTATTGGTTACAGAAATCTTAAGTACTGGGACATAAAGGGTCTGGGGAGCTGTCTCCTCTCCGGTCGTAATAAAATATTTGGCAAAGTTGAGTTTTAGGATGTAAAGGCTCTGGGCCCTGTTTCACGAAATTTTAACTAAAGATAAAATTCAAATTTTAGTAGATACTTCAATTTTGATTGGCTAAACACTAAAATTAATCTAATATTATCCAATCAAATTACTAAAATTTGGATTTTATCTTAGTTAAAATTTCGTGAAACAGGCCCCAGATCTTTGTGTTACAAGAGCGTGATGTTTACCATCTAACAAATAGTACCAAAAAGCGCACGAGTTTCACTTCTTGGGTATTGCCTAACTGGTTCTTGATTGTTTTTAAAAAGGAGTGGAGCATGTGTTTCAGTAGTAGGCCATTTGCCCCACTACTTACTGTACTGACATTTGCTCTGATTGGTAAGCAACAACCAAATACCAGTAGTATGCACGTTATAGCAAATGGTACCTGGAAATAGTGGACTAACTGCCACGATTGTTAGTAGGCCTACACTATTAGAGTATCACAATACACTGAAATGGAATATGAAATAAAATGGGGTTTAACGTCCTACTGTTCTGCTCCCACTGGGCTAATGAAGACGGGCATGTGTTATGAGGGGAATTTTGCCCGGTCAGCGGCACTATGACCTACTCTTATATCGAATTCCAACTACCAAGGGATCTTTTACGTGCACGCCAATATATACACGGGACGTTGGTTTTTCGTCCTATCCGAACGACTAGACAGCTGGCCTTGTCAGGCCCTCCATCCTGCACCACTGACAAGGGGAAACCACGCCGGATAATCCCAATGAACTTTCTCGGCCAATGGAGGCTCCACGTTTATCGAATCGACATTTACCCATTATCCATATTTTACATGTGAGCATGAGAGAGAGAGAGGGTTAACGTCCACTCGACACAAACTAAGTCATTTCGGGACTAACATATGGTTCTATTTTATTTCATTAATTCGCTTATTTCATTAATTTAGCAGTGGGAGAAAATCGGAGGATCCGGAGAAAACCCACGAGGTTAGACAGGCGAACCTACTCCTTGTCACGTACAACCGGGGAATCGAATCGAAACCACGCCAGTTGACTCCATGACAGACCTTATGATGCAACGCGCACGCGCTAATCCTACTGCCATCCAACCGCCCCATGACTCTTTGAACAACTAGGTATAAGTTTTGTTTCTGGCCAATTAACGTTTGTCCTAGATGAAGTAGCACTAAAACAACAATTCCTTATTTAAAGGGACAATAACACTCTTGCTGGCTTGACAGCTCCAGAAAATAAAAAATAGCATTATTCTAAGTACTAGATGTGTTAGTGTCCTACCTGTTGTGTAAATTATCCATTAAATCCTATTTTACTTGTCCAGAGGGTTCAAAAATATTTTTAAATCCAAGTCACATTTGAAAAGCTTTACATCAGGCTTTTCAAATCATTTAGTTGAATTTTTCCAATTTTTTAAATTAGGTGTGTTAAGATGAAATTTTTATCATCAATTAATTGGAATATTGTAAAGTAGTACAATTTGTTGACCAGAATAAAGATTGGGACATATTATTCAGTTACAACAAGAGTGGTATTGAGCCTTTAACCAAGTTTGGATCAACCGTTTGTGAAGCCGTTCAAAATGAATCCGGTGATCAACAAAACCTATAAAATGATATATTATTACACGGGTCATTTCGCCAACAATGTTGGCCAGGGCCCTGTGTCTCGAAATCTTAACGAAAAATAAAATCCAAATTTTACTAGATACTTCAATTATGATTGGCTAAGCACTCCAATCAGATTACTAAAATTTGGATTCTATCTTAGTTAAAATTTCGGAAAACAAGCCCCGGGGTCAATTTCAGACCATATTTGGCCGCCATTTTGTATTATTGGATCTGGCGGTTGTGCCTTGACTATGACTAGAGTGCCGCGCTTCGACCTCTAACTGGCCGGTCACCTCTGGCTTGCGGGTGTGGTTTCGATCCCTGGTGTGAGCGTATGTGGCTTGGAGATATGGGCGTCTTCTCAACCTCGTGGGTTTACTCCGGTTTCCTCCCACAGGAAAGACCCCTGCACGTGCGCTGAGATAATAAAAATGAAAAATAAGACTTGTCTCTGATATCACCTTCGGTGGAAGCGGACACGAAACACTAAAACTAACAACAGCAATAAAAAGATCAATTTTACGTTTATTCCCAACTGAAGAGATTTATACAATTAGTTCTGACGATGCTAATTATTTCATCGCCCTAGGAAAGCTGAAAAAAATTAGCTTTATAACTGGATAACAAAAATAACACACTTAGAAATCAGATTTTTCACTATGACTGTGAAACAGGAAGCATTTAATATTAGCCAATGAAAAACATGCATTACTTTCATTTATCAACCGGGTCATCAAACTTTGAAAAGTAAATCCTCCATTTTTTCAGTAAAATAATTTTTGAATATAAAAATGATGTTAAATAATCGCACGTATCAAATGAAGTGAAAATCAGATACAGTTCATTAAACAACATTGATCGAAACGTCTTTAGATCGGTTTTGGGGTTTTTTTTCAACAATATTTTCATTCCGGATATGATTTGGATGGGACAGGGGAACAGGCCTATGCAGCCTATGTAAAAACCCTTCTCACTTTCAATCGTTGAGGACTTTTATATAGCTAAAACCACTACTGGTGACCCACATGTGACCCTTCATTCCAAACCATTATCCCCCTTTAAATCGGTTAGTACTAAATGATAAGGCCAGCTCAATTTTTTGTCATAGGTCACGAGATGTAAACAAGGCTAGAGCTAACCCCAGCCCTAACCCTCACCCTGGACCCAGCTCCAATGCTTACCCTAACCATATTCTACAATCTCGCCAAAAACCACGTGCCCTAACCTTATTTACATCTAGGCGGCCTTGACAAAAATTGAGCTGGCCTTAACAAATAAATTTCAACCAAAACGACACACATATGACCCTTGGACCCCGATGTCATCTTCTGTCGCGTTACGTAGGTACACCCCCCCCCCCCTCACTCTTAGATCGTTCAGGATTTTAAAATAGCTTAGAGTTTTTGTATTTCAACCAAAACGACTTGCGACACACATGTCATTGTGGCCCTTGGCATACGAGGCTATCTTCTATGCTTACATATTTTGATTGTACTATTTTTTCATTTCTATGTTCGCATATCATATGCACGTAAAAGAACGCTTGGCAGCTGGAATTCGAAATAATAGTAGACTGGCCGATCCAAATTTCCCGCATAGCACACTGTATGACGTAACCCAGCCGATGCAGAAAAGTTAAACCCCATATCCTTTTTAAAGATCATAATATTTCTCGGCTAATTGAAATGATATTGCCACATGAACTAATAGCTACGTATGAATTTTAGCTACAACTATAAAACTATAGCCGGAACTGGTCCTTTTTTATTTTCTTATGGATGTCTTTTATTACTCGGTAACCATGGGGATGATAAAGTACGCTTGAATTCTAACGTCCATTGAATGAAGAACAAAGTAATGTATTTTACATGCTATTAATTTAAGATGTTTGTTCGAATTATTTTTTCCTCGCTGTCGTGTAGCAGGCATCTTAAAATCAATTTCATCCTGTTCTTTGGCGAGAGGGTTCTCCGTGTTTCGTTTGCGTTGCCATGGTGATATTCATGCCCATAATTTACAAGATGTTAATCTTAATGTAAAGATATAAGAAGTAAAATTGAAATATAGCTGAATTATTTTCAAAACCCTTCCTGTTATTAGTCAATTTTAATTCCACTCAATTCAATCCGAACACGACATTTTACGTTAGGCTATGTCATCGCATGAACTCGCTTTTGCAATAATGACAAACAACAAAAAATCCAAATTCTATTAAATCAATTGATTTCCTTATCACGGCATGCGTTTACATGCATCCAGTCGTCAATTTTCAATACATTCTAAATATGGTCATATTGATTTCTGCTTGCCAGACGTCGTGAAGAATCATTATCCCCCTTCGTGAATAAAGTACGGTTGAAATCCGAACCGGTTTCCGTTTGTTTTGTTACGCGCCCGTATTCCAATATCCGGTCCGCAGTTAAAGAGTTGGCGGTTTCCGATTAGCCAGAATTGAATCGGTTCATAAACACGATTGCAAAAGATTTATGGTAAATATAATCAACTTGACTGCAACAAACAAAGGTCACGGTATTTAATCAAAAAAACAGAGCAGTTGTTATAGGCTACAACTTTGTTTGTTGTGTATACGGTCAGTACAGAATTACAGTATACGGAAGCTGTGGTGGCTCGGTGAGTAAGACGCTGGCTTGCTAGCCTGGAGATCTCGGGTTCGCTCGTGGTGTTTGACGAGGAGGTTCCTAGGGATTTTCCGGAGTGGTTTCCCCTTGTCA